TATGTTCTGTAATGGAATAATTGTTCCCTTGGTCACAAAAGTACTTAATGATAACACATATTATCAAGATTAATAATACAAATGGCAATCATGTAGAAAATGTTGTGAATCATTTAATTTCAACAGGAACTATTTTTTTGCATCTGAAATTCAATAAATTATTCCTTTAAACTGTACCTTCTTTCGTTATTTTATTTATAGACATTTGTACTGAAGTTCAGTTTCACATAGCATCACACACAAAATATCTACAAATTGCAGTGCAGAGCATTGTGTAATATCATCCAAAAAAGGAAAAAAAAAACCACCAAACCAAACCAGACAGACACAGGACACTTAGAACAAGGCCTTTATTCACAAGGGAAAAAAGTGTGTATGGAATTTTTAATTTTTTTTTTCTTGTTTTTTCCAAAACGAATCTTGGCAAGCAGACAAGACAAAAAAACTCAGAAGATAACAAATCTGTCAGATTCCTTGATGTTTACTGCAGGGAAGATTAATTATTTTTCATGTATACTAAACCACACTGGTCATATAGCAAAGAGTGTGCATCCATATTCTCCCCCTACTTCTGGGTCCATAAATGATAACACTGAAATAGCGCTAGTCCTTGATATAGTACTACTATATGTATAACCTTGATAAGGGGCTCATAGAGACTGAGGTCTGTATACTTATAAACTTTCCAAAACGAGCAAGTAAACTGAACAAGCCTCATCCTCCACATTATTTTAAAAAGCCATTATAATCAAATACTGCACCATAGCTAATGGTACTTAAGAACAACAAGACTTCAAATCATATTATTTTGCATTTTCAAAATACATGATTCCCTCTAACTTTTATGGTAGTATGGAGTATGATAGACAACAAAAAATAGGGTTTCCAACCAAACGTTCCTGTGCAGATCTCAAGAGATACCTAAATGAATGCCTAATCCAGCAGTTCTTAAGATTTCTAATACTTAGAAGGGGGAAAAAAATTAGTCTTTTGGCTAGCAGATGTGTCTGTTAACAACTGAAGGGAGACAGAGGTAGTAAAGACCATCAATGAAACCCAGGAATCATCCTGATAATAAACAGACCACTTTCCAAGCAACTCAGCAATGGAAAGAGTTACAAGCCACATTCAGAAAAAATCTGCCTTTCAAGTAATTATTTTTGGAAAAAGAGTCCTTATTCCCTGTGCCATTATGTACACACCACCCTGGCTATCAGAGCTTGTGTACTTTATCTATAGTTTAACTTCTTAATTGCAGAAAGTAAGGTAATGAACCTCTATTATTAGAGCAGGTCTGATGGAGAAGGGATAAAGCATAATGCAAAGTATCAAAACATGCATTGCAATTTCTCAAAGTGCAAGATCCAAGTATTCTGTCTGGAGTCAGGCTAGAGGTATAATCACCTTTAAAATGGTTTGCATGCAAAATATCTCTGTTGTGGAAATTAAATGAATTTTAAATAGAAAATCCAATTCCAACAAACACAGCCCCAGGTAGATCACCAACAAAGCCCAAATCCATAATTTTGAGGCCAGCAAAGACTTCTATCACTTGAATTACAAGAGCAAGCATCTCCCCCACCCCCACCCAAACACTGACTAGCCAAAAGAAGACTGCACAGAAACACATCAACAAAACACTGATCAAGACTCCAGAAGTCTATTAACACTGTAAGGGAGCACTATCCTTTAACTACAGATCATTGGCAGGCTTCACAATGCAGAAGAATAGAAAACTGCATGCAGCCAAAATGCAGAATGTTCCTCCTGATCCAAGCACATGGGTAGGTGGTCTGTACCTCATTCAGAGTTTAGTTCTAGGGTTCTTCCCATGAAAAAACTCAGGTTTCTGCTACTACAGTATTATCCATACTATTCCTTATTTTAAGAGGAAAATAAAAAAGCTTTTTTTTTTAATTTAAAAAATTATTAATTAAAAAAATTTTAATTAAAAAAAC